TTCAAGAAAGTAAATATGAGTGGATAATACCCCCTTTGAAATTCCAAAATTATTATATTGTATTTTGTTCTGTTTTTTATGTACAACTAGCAAGCAATTTACTAAAGTAATATTTATTTATTTGTAAAAACAATATATTTATGAAGAAAATATTTTGTTGTGTTTTTTTGCCATTTATTTTAAATTGAATCTGAAACACTTATTTTGGAATGCACTGATCACAAATTAAACACACAAAAAAAACCATTTTAAATGATTTCATGATTTCAGGAAAGTGTTATTATCCCCTCTATATGTATTACTTGAGTGGAGGTAGTTACACCATAAGTTTATTACACTTGTCTTAACCAATGCCACAGCACAAAGATTTCAAGATTAGTTATACTTTCAATTACAAATTCAATGTTATAAATAATTTCAAAGAAAGGACTGTACACATAGATAGTAAGGTGTTATTAACTTTAAAAATTTTATGCAATCAGTTATTCTTACGGTCAACTTTCACCATTTATGTACCATGTTTGAAATGAATACTTTATTTGCCTTGTTCTTAGAAAATAACAGCACATTTCTGAAATAGGTGCGAAATTAAGTTTGAATATGGAATTATAATTGCAAAAGCCACGTGACGCTGAGAACTATTATCTAACTGCATAATTTTGTAATTGAAACCTTATTCACTAATAAATCTCCTTGAGTAGATGTGGTGACTCAAAGCCAGACTCGTGTATATGACTAATTTGCTAAAAACACGCAAGGATACACACAAAATTGAGGAAACACTCACCTGGGCCGGTTCTGCATGTAATGTTGACCGCCAAAAATAAAAGCCATGTAGACCCCAACATAGTAAAATGCTACAGTCCAGTTTTCCGCCATCCACTGTCTATAATTATGGTGAATAAAATCGTTTTCGAACTCGAAAATGTACGAATAATTCGGGGTTATGTCCAAATCGTAAGCCATCGTGTTCTCCATGGTCAATGTCGAGCTTTAAAATGTTCACTTTAACACGCGAGCTAGGTTATAGGAAATGCACTGATCGTACGGGTGTTACCGGCTAATGAATTAACCTAAAATGTTGAGATATCTCGCTATCGTTATATCACAGATGGAAATGTCAATATTCTGTGGGGCGGTGAGGCGTAGCGCCGCCGAGCGTCTGCCACTAGCAATGGTCGCGGAGTAACTTCACGTTAACTTATATTATATCGCGATGACGAGGCGTCGGACCGAGCCCGAGCTTATTTAACTCGTCACAGCGGCGGCAATAGGAGGAAAAAGATGAATGAACTCGCTTCACAACACGCCGCCGTGCCTTGCCTGGCCTGTCTCATTTTCGTTTCGATCTGACATTATGACAGATGTCTACTCCTCCATCGTCTCCGCGACCGTTTCGTTTCAAGGTTTACGTATGGGTGCTTTATGGAGAGATACAAAAAAAAATTAATCAAAATGTCTCCTTTATTAACACGACACAAATAGTTCAGATAGGTACTTTGATTAAATGACCTAAATCTTTTTCTTCTATGTAGCAAGGATAAATACGACGTTTGTAACTCAATGTTTTTAAAAATTATACAGAAAAAAAGGCCATTAGAGCGTTCACTAAAAAATACTTATTTCGTTCAAAAATTACGCAATTTGATATTTCGGTTGACTTTTGTCGTGACAGCAGGATAGAACGAGTTCATAATTCGTAAGGTAAAGTAGGATAGAAGAAGCATTTCGTTTGAAAATTTAAAAAATATTTGCGGCACTTCCTATTGTCAACTTCCGTTTACTATAACTTCTTCAAAAGTTTCATAGAGCAGTTGTAAGTCAATGAGAGCAGCAGATTATTTAAAACTATGTTTTATTATTCCGTCTTTATATACGTTACGTTTTAGAGCAAAACTATTTGACTAGTTTAATTGTAAAGTACTACAGAAACGCAAAGAAACTTATTTTAAATTTTATGTAACTTTTAAATTTTATTGTAACTTTATGTAATAAAAAGTGCGTTAATTTGTAAGTTCGTTTACATTATTCCTTTGTCTAACTTAAAAAAAAAGTGGAACGGGGCTGCACCTGTAACTGTGATAAAAATTTAGCAATCGTCACATCCATAAATAATTTGATAAATGCTCTTTAACACGACAACACCAAAGCGATTCATATCTTGGAACCTTTTAGACAATTCTTCGAATATTGGCAACATCGGTCTGGGCGTTTTCTGTTCCAAAGAAGTAGCAGTAGAGTTAATAAATGTATACATATAAAATGCTGGGCTGTCTCCAATGGTTAGAACTCTATGAAACCTTCCAGACTCTAATTTAACATTATTTCCACTTGTTAAGATGTGTGAATATCCAGGGAGTGTAGGTACAACTTCAGGTTCAAAGACTATACGGCCTTTGAGGATAGTTAAAGTGATGTTGGTTAATTCCCTTGCCAGATATTTCTCCAGTTCGTATCCTGAAAATAAACGTGATTTTAATGTCAATATCTCCTTAATTACAAAAGTATCCACTGCCACAGCCTCATTTACATATCTAAGTATATTATTCAGTTCAGTGTGGTTCACTTCCGAAAAACCTACTTACATTTATATAATAATATTGTACTTAGGTACGAAATAGATACTTAATATCATCGAAAAGTAAACTGATCTTTATTGTATTCACATTCTTTCGGGTTAATAATTGTGCAGTTTTACCCTGCCTTATTTCAAAATGAACAAAGTCGGTACTCCCGGTTTACACGCAAGGAAGGATTTATAAGGATTGAATCATTTAATTGGCGATCACGAAAAAAAATCAAACCGGAAAACAAGAAAATGCGTTATTAACACTAGTAATGAGGTTGAACTTGACAGAGACCGTATTATTATTTCCTTACGGTTTACATGTTAACCACAAACATACCAGGGAAATCAGCCAGGAAAAGAACTTCAGTGTAGTTATCCCAAGACGTTACTTCATCTTTAATTTCCAATAAAACATTCCTCCAACTCAAACCTTCATCATCGAGTAAAGGCATCAAAAATGGAACTCTTTCAAAAATGGACCATGAACTTTTTAAAATATCAACTTTAGGGTCAAAAATCCTTTGAGTAAATCTTCCATTTAAAGAGGTCCAAATATCGAAGTATATGGAAATATCATCATGTTTAATAGCATCTTTAACAATGTTGTTTCTCAAGCACTGGGCATATTGAAACGCTATGTCGCCATGACTCGTCCACCTCTCATTAGGGGCACAAAGTTCTGGGTCCAGGAAGAACTCCTTGTTGTATTTATTGTCAACAATTTTGATGACGACGGAATTAGTATCCCAGCTATGAACCATCATGTCCCAGGAGTAGCCGTAGAGACCGTTAGTCCAGTTATTGTAGCCCTGGGAAACGAAATTATAGTAAAGGTTTTAAAGGAATACAAAAATATTCTTCTTGACCAGAGATAGGCAGTGGGTTAAAACCTAATCAACCCGCCCGGGTTTTAACCCAAAGCGGCGGATTGTAATCCATTATATATGGCGAGCGCATATGGAATACGGAATAATTCTATATTTAATACAAATTTCGATGTAAATAATGCTTTTTAGTCGAACAACTCAACACAACAATCACTTTGCAATCCTGTAGATTCTCACTACTAGGATGCACGTTACAATTCGATTCCTGCTCGACCACGACTACGACCCATCGAGTATATAATCAGAAATAGAGACGAAATAAGGGCCATCCATCCCTGGCAACTAATCGGGTAAATGGGCCTCATATCACTTTTAAGTATCAACTCTCGTTTGCGCTGAAATCACAAATTAGAAAGCTGAAATAGTACAGCGCCAACAACTGACCTGTGTGTACGTCTCTGTATATTCCAAAAATATTCTATATTTATTGTAATAAAGATGACTTAGGGGGGCTGTTCAGTGGTATGGGAAAAACAGCAAAACATCTAATTACAAAACAAACGGAATCACATGTCATCGGTATTAAATATTATATTGCGTAATTTTTCAATTTTCGTCTGTTATAGCAAAGCTCAAGTTAAGCTGGTCGTTTTGAAATGACACAATTGACGACACCCGTCAATTACTTCGAATTCGGGAATTTCGGGGAATATTCGAATGGACAATCGGAGCGCAGTTGTCACCGAAATGATATGGCAGAATAGTTTTCAAACAAATGAAATGACATTTTGTCTCTATTTCTGGTTATGTAGTCGATGACACGACCCAAAGATTTTTACATTGCGATTTTCAAGCGAATCGATGCAAAAGAAAGGCGAATCGGATCGTCAAGATCAGAAAGTAATAAATATTTTGTAATAATGTCGTTAAATTCCAACAAAACTCGATTTATATATTTTTGCATATCGGAACGAAAAAAGGCATAACTGCTGTGTAAAATACGCATAGTTGTGCTTTATTTCGTTACGAGGACAGTATAACCCTTAGAGCATATACATATAAGACACATAATTGGCTATCTAAGTGCGATTTTTCCTTGTAAACAATTAAACCTTTAAAGGTAATACTTTGACCAAGTTTTGATGGAATGTAATAATAAAGATTTACGTCAAGCATACGCATTTGCGATTACTTTATAAAGTACGTATTCCTAATTAAGTGGTACGACCACTAATTGTTTTGTGGTCGTCATAAATTTTCCATAACATTTACTTAAATCTGCTCTAAATTACATACCTTTGTAATGAAATGAGAGCATGGTAAAAACGCTTGCATCAAAACGTAAATTACTATTATCAAAGTCGTTACTTTCTTGCGGTGGTCTCTTTTACCCTTTTCTATTTTTGTAACTGATTCTTCTTGAATGTGTTTTGTTTTTTTCTGGTCTTTATTCATTTGCTCATCTACTTTCTCTTTGGTACTAACACTAGCTTTACCATTGTAATGTGTGTGATTGTCGTTTGTTTCTTGGATGTCATTAGAAGTGTCGCTTGTATGTAATTCTTCTTGAATATTATTTTTATCTTCATTCCTCATAACACCTTCATTTCGTGCATCATTGTTTTGGTAATTGCATACAATGCTTTGTTTATATGAGCTTACTATGTTAGAAATTTTTTTCTTGATGTTGAGATATTGAATTTTTAAAAACGGGACGATTGTCTTTGGCCAATGGAAAGGGTAGAAGAGAGGCATAGTTGCAAGACAGACCCAGGGAAACATACCTGGAAAAAAATTGGATTTGGATTAATATCTCATTGTAAACTATGGAAACATTCTGTATCGCCTTATGTATCGGGTATAATTTCTCAGTGGACAGGTATATAAGGTATATTACATTTACGTTTTGATAATGCCCCTCCTTAAGTGTTTATTTTATCAAATTGAAAGCACTGATTCCTCTGATGTTTTGTATATGCGAAAACAGTTCATATAAACTGTCAAAAGTTTAAACAAACAAAATGTTCGATTACTCCAAATTCACTCCACGAATTTCTGCAAAACTACATTCTAAACTTGAGATATTTTTTTTACCGATATCTTGGTTATTACAGGAAGGCACTATTACGTGTGCAGGCTTGCTTGCAAACCTTATAAGTTCAGGTCAGATACCCCGTGGAGACGTGGACGACCTCCGTGGACAGCTCCCATATCTTTGTTACATAATTTTTGATTATAGTGACGCTCCCTATCAACCTCTTGGTTATACGGGAAGGGCACTATAACCTGTACAGGGTTGTCACAGACCGCAGTCACTTGACTTCATCCGGTTCTCAAGAGACTAGTAAGGTGAGCCGTGTGAGCCGGATGAGCCGTCCCGGGTGCACTTACAGTACCCTACCTATTTTCCAGATAGGTACCAAAGCTGTAGGCACGCTCACTTCCCGTTGCGCTTTGCACAATTAACGATTGCCACGGCTAAGCCGTCGACTCTAAATCCACTACAAAATCTCCTCATTGGTGGCAGAGCTGTACGGCACGCTCACTTCCCGACGCCGAAAACGCCGTCTCTCCAGTTCCCAATAACCTTAGCGGCTGGAGGGATCGGAGTATATCTAGCTTATTCTCTACTAGCTCTCCGGTCACCGTGTCCTACAATGTCCGGACATAGCTTCCAAGTTAAAGGGCAACTCACATACCCGCGCGTCTCTTCGCTTCAGGTCCTCAACTAGACCGCTACTAAGACACGCTAGCTGCGCAAGATTCAGACGCACCGGAAACACACCACCGGGGCAGACAAACATGTCTGTCTCTGTGACTCAAGTCCGGCTTCGCCAGACATGCACGTGAAGGCGTCTCCCTAGCGGAGGGCTTGGCCCGGACACCAGCTGTATCCTGGTCTTGCCGGCGAGCCCGTAGTCTCTCCGGAATACCCTATCTCTCGGGTCGGTAGTTAGGGACATTTCTCCGTGGATAGTACAATTTGTGTTGTATGTGTCTTCTACTAGATAAATAATACCAACCAATTCTGAAAAGCCGGCTGTTCATTAAATGGAACATAGCGCAGAAGATCATGGCCACGTTTCGGGTGCGTCCCCACATCATCCAGAAAGCTATTGTGAGGTCAAACGCGAATATGAACCAGTGCACGATCAGGTAGTCTATTTGAGGTACTGATAAGAACAATCTGAAAGAATAATAATGCACACATTCAACATAGCCCCGCAATAAGGAAACCCTGTGTCGCGGGTGCCATGGACACACACATAGACAACCACAAATTCCACCCAAAGTCACTAGAGTAATAAATATAGACCATACAAATATTTCTCCCGGGCCCGGGAATCGAACCTGCGACCTCTGCGTGGCAGTCCGGCTTGGTGACCGTTCGGCCACGGAGGCAGTTGAATAGTAGCTGTACAAGCAATAACTATCAACATTTATCTGAAATATTTATGAAAAGTTTTACATAATTACGGTGCGTTCTTTAATTTCTATATGGTAATAATAATAAAATAACAATAATAGTTAGCCTATATGTCGACCCACTGCTGGGCACAGGTCTTCTCTCATGGTTTGGGCTGTAGTTTTCACATTGGCACAATGCAGATTTTTCCTTCACCGAAAAGCTCATGGTAAGTTTCAAATTAAATTTCAGATATGAATTCCGAAAAACTCAGAGGTGCGAGCCCGTATTCGAACCACGGCCTCCGCCTGACAGGCGGCAGGTCAAACCATAAGGCTACCACGGATATGGAATTTTAAGCATGTAGCTTGGTACAAGAAGTACCGAAATCTAAAAATTAGAAACATGTGAAATATTTGGAAGCAGTAATAGCAAATAAAATAAAGAATATTAAAGCCAGGACGTTGCTTCGTAATCAGTGACCGCATGATTACCCACAACGTCACCACTTTTAACTACCATTTTCTTCTACAAATAATTCGTGACGTTTTGATTCTGTGTCTCACTTACCTAAAGGGTGTAAATACCCAATGAGAGCTGAGGTTCATCATCGAGTACCCAGCAAGCCATTCAGCTGTCCCCTTCTTCACGCCCGCCATGAAATACAGGATGAAGAATTGGTACTTCAATATGAAATAGTTCCAGTACGGTACCGTGGTCTTTTTTAAGTTGGGATTTAAGTACGCGTCCAGAGACCTGAAATTTTCGGTCTAATTTAAAATTGACTTGACGATCTCGATGGGTAAACGCTTTGCACTGTGAGCGATGGATGAGGAGGTCCAGGGGGCCTACTCCCGTCCTCCATCCGATATCCGTCCGATAAAATCTTCATTCTATTCATTCTATATTCAATAGAAGCTTCATTCGCATAATTATTCGTCGCAATTACGCGTATCTAGCATTTGATTACGAGTCTCCATTTCGGTCATTTAGTCGCCCTATCAAATTCGCGTAAATGTCGTGGCAACCTAATTAAAATAAATAATTCATATTCATATTCATTTATTGCAATTCACATGTATGGTACAGGTTAATAAGCTTAAGAATATAGTAGGTACATACACATGATACCCTGTAAGCGCGTAACAAATTAAACTAATTGTATAGGAACGTTTCAACAAATTAAACTAATTATAAAGAAACATTTCAAAACTTAAGTAAATAATCAATTGACATAAATATTACATATCTATTATTGTATGTACATTTATGTGTTATTATAATTTTTATTAGAAGTAGAGACAAATAATTATTAAATTAATTAATTAATCAAACACTTATAATAAAAAATTCAGACAAATTATAATTATTTTTTTTATTGAGGAGATCCTTCAATTGTTTTTCGAAGACCATATTTTTATCTAAATCTTTAATATAATTAGGGATATGATTATATATTTTTATTAACATGGGATGAGGGGAGCATGAAAATAGTCTTAAGCTGGAGTAAGGAAGTTTTAATTTATTAAGATAACGGTTATTACGTTTTATTAATTTTACTGGAGAGTATAGGTCTGTAGGTTTTTTGACGAACTTACAGGCTTCGAAATATATAAGCACGTTAGGGTGAGTGTGTTGTTTTTCGAAATAGGGTAGCGAGATTTATAGGAATCTGTTTTTATCAGTCCGTAGACAACATAAATTAATGCTTACTGTTCAAAAATAAAAGTCGTAGCCGTTGAAATAACAAAATAATAACGTTAAATCTCAGTTGAATAAAGGGCTAAGAAATTTTAAAATATTGTTTTTTATTATAAAGAAATAAATGCTCGTTACTTGTACAAAATTTGGAAGAGAGAGAGAGAGAGAGAGAGAGAGAAATGGCCACCGGTGTTGACGACAACAAAAATTACCGGTGTTGCTATAATGAGACTGAAATTATTTACTATTTTATTTAAATTAAACTAAACTTTTATGTTCTGTACTGAACAATCCATCTCCTGTGAAATTTGGTTTGGTGCAGACACGCGCTTTTTACCAATACTACATACGCGGATTTGCAGTATCCCCGCGGTATTTATTTAACTGCTGAGGGCCAATTACAGATCCTCATATATAGAGCACCTTTTAATTTGGTCGAATATTATTTATTTCACTGCATTGACCTACCAATATTTCACTGTAATTGTTTCGGGCGGATGTTGAACGGTGAACGGAAGTAGCCCCCAGTGTTCGATTTTCGAACCAATTCGAAAAAATAACGTTTCTAAATTGGTTCTAGCATGGGTGTTCCTGGTAGTGCCCTGGAACCCAAGTCCCAGACCAGCTCATCGGTGTAGTTGACTGGCCCATTATTTTTATTACTACACAAGACGTCAAATGTTTATACCGTGTTTACGACCACACTTCAGAGGAGTACAGCTAATCCGTACATCCCTAATGCCTGGCAATGTATGGGTCGTATTCCAGAACTCTACTCAATGCTCAAGTCAGGACTTGAGTATTGCAGTGAGCACTGAAAATCATACTCAAGACCTTGCCATTAGGGTCGTAATTCCAGTGCTTGAAATCATACTCAAGTCTGCTCAAGTCCTGACTTGAGCACTGAGTAGAATTCTGGAATACGACCCTATGACTTATATGTTATGCAATGGGATCCGTTCTGAAGTGTTCCTTTTACGCTTTTACACGGGTAGGGTTTCACGTGTGTTGTGGTAAAGTAGTTTTTAATTAATAAATAAAAAATAAAAGTTTTATTTTCAGATACTATAGGTCCATAGTTTGTAAGCAACCTTATACTGCATTAGTAACAAATGACTGTGTGGTGAATTTATGGTGTATTGTCTAAGAAGTGTACATTAAAATGTTCAAAATCGAGATGTCAAAATATTCAAAATACATAATATAAAATTCATTGAAATAATAATCATAATTTAATCGGAAGTAAAAATTTAAAATACTAAAATTTACAATTAATAAAATAACAATTAAATTTAAAAAAAAGTTAAAAATTATTGACTACTAGATGTTGTAAATAGATGTTCTCTCCTTACCAATAACAATGAGCATTCGTGAAACAAAGCAACAGTCCAACAAGTCCAAACAAATAGCTGTGATTGTTCCAATAGCTCTTCTCTATCAGGAACAGGTACCAGTAACAGGTGGCGAAGATGGGAGCTGACATGCGGAACTTGTAGCCCAACATTATACCTACGGCTCCTGAAACATAGAACTACGTTAGGTGGGTATGTATGTATTAAACTGCTTTGGACAAACTAACACGTTTAAACAACACGCTTTATATTATTCCTCACGCAAAAGAGCTGTTCTCGTAAAACTTTGCAGAAGGGTTGAAACATAATTCAGCTCCATTGACTTACAATTATATGGACGTCGGGTCCGCGCTAAAAAGTGTTCGAACTTATAGGGCGTTAAAATCGTATACAGAGCGTCATTCACGCTTTAGTCTTCGTTTGTTTCTTCTAACAGCCAAGCAAGCAAAATTAGACAGTACTGCGATGATATTACAATTTAAATTCAACGTTTTAGCTTTTTCATATTCCTTTACATGACACTACGTTTAAATAGGTTGACTTGGGACATTTTTTTCGTGGTTTTTGTATTAGACCCGCCGTCCATTTATTTGTAAGTCGTTCAGCTCCTATAAATTACTCGAATGCAATTTTCTTTTATTCAAAAGTAAGAATAAACAGCCAGATTATTTACCCATCCAAAGTGCAGCATATACAAGGGCCATATAGGGCATTGGAATGGCCCTAATGAAGGGCGCCAAAGGGAAATGGCACAATTTGGGGTTCCCCCATCGATCAGCCATGATTGCCCCCCCTCGTTCGTCCGGGATGTCAAACAGCATCGATAGTCCTGTGTATTTTAATCGGATTACAAGATAGGTAACAGAAATCCGGGCTAATATATTTTACGTGATAGGGTTTTTGAAAAACAAAAAGTTTTGAATTGTATTATTGATTAATTTACACTCGTTCCATTAAAAGGAAAATTCTGTTAGTACAAATGATTTGCCGGTAAGTACAGTCAACAGCAGCATCAAACTACACTTTCGAATATCGCCTCCAGTGCACATTAAAAAGATCGCTCCAAGGGTAGCTTGATGTCTGCCGTCTCTCCATGCATGTTGCAAAGGAAACTATTTTGTTTTTCGAATATAAAATTCTGTGTTCTTGATGATAGGACCTGTAAAGAGTCCCAAACGTTGGTTTGTTTTAAAACAAACAAAATGTACGTAAGTTTTGTTGATATAATTGATACAAAGATTGAATAAACTCAAAGAGAATCTTCTTTATTTTCGCCTAACGTAAGCCATCGCTCTCTCAGCCGAGCTACGGAACGAGATATAAAGCGCAGGCTACACCCCGAATGAAGCTAAGCTAGGCTAGCGTAACTCACGTATCCAGGGCATGTATTCATACTACGGTTCACACTGAGCACTAAGCTAACTGGGCTAACTAAACTAACCCAACGATCCCGCTAAGCTGTAAAATATGTCGCTCTTCTGCCGCCTTCCCCCCGCACTTATCCATAGTGTATCACGTCACTACTTACTACGTATTTTCTTAGCTTAGCTTTGTTCGCGGTGTGGCCTGCTCTAAATTAAAAATTACCACTTATACGCAATTTCATATCCGAAAAAGAAATAGTTTTCTGTAGCAGTAGCAAAAACCTAAAAACACGATAAAATTATAATTTATAGTTGAATGCAGATAAGCAATACATAGTAAATCTATGGTGTCAACCATCATGATCATAGTTTTGCGAAAATGGTACCTAAAGATTTTTTGATAGTTTGTTCTAAAATTTTGTATATAAAACAACGACAACGAAAAAATCTTTAGTAGCCATTTTTGCAAAATATTGATCATGTTGATTGTCACTATTGCTTATCAGCATGCAATTACGTCTTGTTTTAATAGTCACGAAAAATCTGTAAGCAATAACGAAATAAAGATTTTATTTTCATTGCAAATGTTTATTGATGTCGTGAAATATACACGTGAAGACATTTAGGGGAACACTATGCCAGAGAATATAAGGCAATCACTGCTACGCGTATTTTTTTCAAAAATATTGACAACAAAAATCTTTTTTTTATTCATTTGTTTTAATTTTCTACTAATGTAGGTTTGTCGAGTGTCGCGGGGTCGATTTTGCGATCTTGTAAATTTCGTAAGTTTTTTTATTGAAAAAAAAAAAGTTCGTATTTCACCATTATCTCAAGTGATGGAAAGTAACGATGAGGACAACGATGTAGCACGCATACCTAAATAATGCCTATTCACTCTCGCCTTGAAAGGGCCCAAGTTATAGCGTTCGGTGAATAAAGAAATATACAAAAAATAATTATTAAATTATTGATACAAAGATCGAACACTCAGAAAAAACACTCAGAAAAAATTCCTTCGATCCGGTCGGATTCGAACCGACGTCTTCTTGCATACTGTGCCAGACGCTATACCAACTAAGCCACGGGACGAACCAACGGACCTCACGAATTTTTCTTTGTGCTTGGGACGTGTCTTTGTACTTGGTCTTTCAACGACTTTTTAGTCGTAGCGTCATCTATGAGAAATCTATTACAGATTTATCACCCAGTTAGTACCTTTACAGCTACCAGTCCTGGCGAGAGATGTCGCTATTCACTGTATTAATTAATTTAGTCGTAGCGTCATCTATGAAAAAGTCATTTAAAAAGTCGTTAAGGTACTTCCCTGGACGAACTCTTTCACAAGGAACTCTACTGCTACTAAAAATGTAATTACTACGTTATTTTAATTCTTATTCATTTAAATATAACCGTTACTAATGACTATTATATATACAGGTGTGTATAATACATGCTGGCAAATGATTTCTAACTTATGTCAATGGTAAAAGGTTATAAAATGTAAACAAAATTTTTCCAAAGATTATCAGTTACTTGTATAGGTACAAGATACGTATTACCAGAACTGTAACTTAGCAATTATATTTATGTTATCGCCAATGTATGTTCTATACAATACCTCATTATTCCATACAATGCTTAAAACAATCAGTCAATGTATGAAGTAAATTCTCTTATGAACTTGGTCTGGAAGTAGATATTCTATACAATGTCGAATGTGCGTTATAGGTAGAGATGGGTTTTTACCCGATAAATATCCGTCTTAGGATAAATACCCAATAACTATCCGTTTTTACTGAGTATTTATCCTAAAACATGAATAATTATTTTTTTTGTGTTTTTTATAATAAAATTCATTAGAATTCATTTTTTATTAAATAATTACGTTTTTGTCATTCTTTTTGTAACGATACTGTTACTACCTACGTTTTTCGAGTCGAGTAGCATAAAAAAATTCGATTGACAGAAAGTTGTCATTCTAACTGTAACCCTTGAGCTCTTAGACTATGGAAAGTAAAGGCCATGTTACGTTGACATATACATATGTATAAATCAGACGTTATATGTATATGATGCATTTCGACGTCGAAAACATAAACATGTTATTGTCTTTGTTTAACTATTACGTGCTGTCTTAAGCCAAAAGAGATAGCTTGGTAGATAGATTGATTGATAGATTGGTCTGTGTCAAACACGGGAATCGAAGAGACGTAACGTCATCTTAAATGCCAACCGCGTCCATTTCGCAGTACATGAGGTACATGATATTGTTATCAAAGGGAAGTACATCAAATGTTTTTCCAAATGTACTATTGAATTATTCGCATGTATTATAATTAAATTGGACAAAAATAATATTGACAGTGAGAATGATTAGGTATTAATAAAATGCGACGCTGCAGCATTAAGGGATGTAGCGTTAGATAATCTCAGTACAGAGTACTAAAAAAACCGACCTCAAAAGTACGTGGAATTACATCTATTTGCTAAGTTTCATTGAAATATCCCCTAGTGCGCCACTATACAGGAC